AAACATTAATTCATTTTCAACCATCATAACATCCAATAGGTATTACATGTCTACATAGTTCCAAATGAAACTTTAAAAAATATATTTCCGATGGGTTTAGTTAAATATGACGCACCATATTTTCAAAATTGATTCTACTTGTTAATAACTAAGATTTATCTCTAAAATTTCAGGGCCATTAAAAAGGTTAATGGTTTGCGAGCAAGAACTGTCAGATGACCGACCCTGGAGGTGAAACATTGAAACACAACCTCACTTTTCTTATTTGTTTACGAATGATTGAAATGGTTTTTCACAATTATTTTCGGCTATTCACTAATTTGCGCGTACCATCACATTGTGCTGTTGTACAAATTGTACAATACACAAAAAATGCAGCAAGAGACGAAGAAATCCGGTTAGTACGTTATGATTTGAAAGTAAGTACCTACTATAGGGTCAGTTGCTGCCTGAAAACGCTTCTGCTCAATACGCAGGAACCCCCAAGCTCATGACTTTGACGTGTTATCGAAATCATCCTAGCAACCATTTTGTTCATAGGCGGCGTCAAGGTGGATGGCATAAGTGTTTTGTTTATGTCATCAGGGACTGGCTTTATAAAAATAATATAAAAATTGAGTGTTGATATTATTTTTTTTATTTTATTTTTGCCAATCCTAGGAAATATGAAGTGCTTTGTTCTTTGGTGTTAGAATTCCACGATTAATAATACTAAAGATGTTTCTTTTCATCGGTGAGTTTGTGAGCAACTATTTAAATCAAATGGAATCATTAATTCAGCTGTGAAGAATTTGAGTTGAGGCTTGAGGTGCCAAACCTGCTCATCTATTTTAGACGATTTGGATTAAAAGTTTACTCAATCAATAATGATTCTTGGATTCCTATAAGAATAATAGAAATGAATGGTTTGAGGCTATTAGGTGACCATTGGACCTTAGCCACTCAGGATGTTCAGACCATTTACCCAAGAGCTTTCTGGTGCTTCCAGGCAAATCCAGGCAAATCGCTGTTTTTCTGAAAAAAATGTTCTAAAATCTGAGTATTTGGAAGCTATGAGTAGACCCCTCCCAACCTTCTTCCTTCGATACGCCTATGTTCCTCAGATTCATGCGTGTAACATAACAGATATCGAATTCGCATGAATCAGTTTCACCAGTTCAATCTCCTGAGTAGCTCACTTTTCCCTTATAGAATTGGCGGTCTATATCAGTCTATAAGTCGGTGACTTCTGATCACTCCGGCAGCCACATAGTTAGTAGACGCTGATGGATAGCAGTTGCGTAACTAGAAGTGTTCCTCGAAGGGCATTCAATAAACATGTTTTTCTACTCACATAACTAAAATGGCATTTAGCGTACGGATAGGTACCACGCTAAATGATCGATTAATCACGGATTGTCGATCTGTGATTTATTCGAAATATTAAACACGTTACCATGGCAATAAGATTTCTTAAACACATTACCATGGCAACGCAGTTCATTAAACACAGCTTCGGTAATTTGAGACATGTCTGGCCTGTCAATCGTATTAACTGTCAACTGTAATTTTCTTATTTTGTATCAGAATTATTCAAACAATATTCGTTTGTATCAGAATTCTTCATTAAAAATATATGCGAAAAGTAGACGAAAGTGAAATCGAAGAGAATGTTCTAGTACTTGCATATCTCCAAGAAGTGTCAAAATGAAGCATCCATCTTTGAGAACAATTTATTTATTCTGCGCTAAGAAGGACAATAAACGTGAAACAAAGGTTAGTAAGCAATGGACTGGACACATCTACAACCGATATCACTTATACGTCGTGTCTCGCTGGTTGCATGCAGTTGCATGTATTATGTTCTCAATTCCCATTTCTTTCGAATTGATTTGTAGGTAAGCAGGAATAGCAGGTATGTTAATGTAATTTTCGGAGTTCTTAGAAAAATCATAGTATGTAACGCGTTTATAAACTCTTCTAGACACTCGTTTATTAAACACTCGCTCCGCTCTGCTCCGCTCGTGCTTAAAATACTCGTTACTAAAAGGACGTTTATAACACTTGTTACATAATATACTATTATTGATGATGGTGATTATTGGTGACTGCAATAATTTCTAGCATTACAAAATAACATTCAAGCGCCTTGGCATGAGAGCAATTTTGCCAATTATTTTCCTTCCAATTGAGTATTGGTATATCTTGATGCGATTCAGAGTAGAGAAGGATATTATTATTAGTGGGCCACTAATCCCACAAAACGACCAACTATACAAAATCATCAGCAAGTATTTCGTGCTGTTGGTTTTATCATAGACATGAATGGTGGTTTTCAGGGTTCTATTTGAAATAGAAAACGTGAGGTGTAAAATCGCGTGCAAAATAGCTATTTTAGTATCTAGTGCGCTAAATGCTACTTTGTGTGATCGAGAACTGACTTTTTAGAATAGTCGAGATGACCAAATTATTTCGCGCACCAGTTGCAAACAATTTTCTTTTATACAAACGTCAAATAATGCAGTTCTGAAGTAGAAATATACTTAGCTTGATATAAAAAATAGTGTGTAACTGGCCTAAAAGGCCTCTCCCTATCCTCCCGTTCCACGAACCTTATAGGAATTTCCTTGCGTGTGCTTCAAGAGATAAAAAAATATGTTGAACATTCAGAAATGAATGATTTGAATGTTTGCTCGATTGTGGACCAAGACATTTAAATACATACATACTCCGCGCATCGTTCTACCCCGGCCACTGCTCCGCATATGGTGTCATGGTAGAAAATGGTTATTTTTGTATCTAGAGCGCGAAATGCAACTTTGGTGATCGAGATCTTATTTTTTTTCAACGAGGCGTAGCGTTAAAAAATAGTCGAGATGACCAAAGTATTTAGCGCTAGAGTTGCAAAGAACATTTTTTCTACAAACGTCAAAAAATATAGTTCTAAAGTAAAAATATGCTCAGCTTGATATGAAAAATAGTGTTGAACTGGCTTAAAAGACCTCCCCCTATCCTCCCTAGGTACGCACGATGTTCCACGAACATAATAGGAATTTCCTTTCGTGCGCAGTCCAAGAGATAGAACAAAGTTATTGTTGAACATTCAGAAATGAATGATTTCTTGGATGTTTGCTCGATTGAGGACCATAAAGTTAATATATTTTTTTCTGTGACGGGAAAAAAGTTTGACATTTCATCTCTGTTGACAGGTTATAAAATGTCACTTTCCAAAAATTACTTCTTTCCCGTGGGAAAAAAGTGAGTACTTTTTTCCCGGATACTCATAAGTATGGTAGATATTTGATTCAGAATATTTTATTAAACGAAAGTTAGATTTCCTTCAAATCAAAAGTACAATTATTGAATGTGCATTGCATGAATGACACGTTCCTTGAAGTATTCGGAACAACAGTAGAATTTTCTCGTGTTGAAATTATATTTCTTTCTGCCATGGACACAACTGCCGTTGATGTACCTGGTTGCAAATGGGGTGTTATTTCGGCAATGCCACAAGTTCTGAATACTTTATTAGCTATTTCTGTTCTGTGTGATACCGATTCATCAACATATCCTTCAGCGACCGTTGATGACTTCCAACCGCCATGTTTCTTCAGTGTCAGCAAATCTCCCCCAGATTCAACTAAAAGTGTAGCAGATGATCTTCGGAATAAATGACCTGTATAATATGAGATAGCATTTTCAAGTTTTCGAAAACTAGCTACTGTTTCAGGTACCTTGTAAAACTGATTTTTACAACTTGATTGATACATTTTCCATTGCGATATGTATAAGACAGGCGGCGATCCTTTGCTGTTGCTGGACGCAGGGCTATGTATGTTCGGTAAAATTTAATATATTCTTCAGTAACTACAAATCTTCTGTCCACATCATTCTTTGTTTGCTTGAGTTTCACAATTAATATCGTTCCTGAATCTTCAATATCAACTAATGTTACCTGGCTGATTTCACAAATTCGACAAGCTCCTGCAATCCCGAATACAACAACAACTTTGGCCATTAAATAAACTTCATCAGGAGCATTATTTAAAAATTCGCCAATTTGTGTACTCGTAAAAATCGCTGCTTTCTTGGGTTTGTAACCTTTCCCATTTTGTTTCAGGAATGTAATTAGTTTGGGATATTTTGAAATGTCTACATTATTATTGGATTGTAACATACTTTTAATCATTGAATAATTTGACCACACTGTTGATGGCTTTTGTTGCTGAGTCAGTTCGGAAAAATAGGCCAATACCACCGTTTCCGAGAAAGAACTGCATGACTTTTTCATTCTCCATTCCATGAATCTTGAATACGCGGTTTCGTAAATTTTCCGCGATTTAGCTGGCAATAATTTTTGTGACGCTTCTTTCGCTGCTTCAACTAACTCCGGTGGAGTAAGAGAAAACTCGAATTCAGACATTTATAATATTATTCAAAATAACTATTAAATCACTATATAAGTTCGTAATGATTTTCAAATCAAAAATCAAAACACAGAATTACATTGACAGAATATGACAATAGAATGACATAGCAACAAAGATGCCCACAATGGAGGTGTAAGAAGTACAAATTTCACATTGATAATTTTCTGATTATATCATGTAATAACTTTTCAATATTAAAGCGTCTTTCTTCCTGTCACAGAAAAAAATTGTGTATTATACACGAGAAAAATATTAGATTTTAGCAAACCTGGAGCTAAAATCTACAACTTTTTTCCCTTGTATAATAAATAACTATTACATAACAATGCGCGAAAAGCACTGTTTTACGTCGCACATTGTTTTGTGCAAGGTATCATGGTAACGTAGGAAACTGAAAAAAAGTATCACTTCGCAATTTATTATCAAAATGACAAGGTTCGACCTTGTCATTTTTTGACGTTTGTAGAAAAAATATTTTCAGATATGTACTGAATATTGTACATTATTACTTATGGTGGTTCCTCCCCTTGAGGTTATTTCTGCAGACGCCCCTGCGGCCTTCTCATTATTGAAAGTTTGTGTTTGTTCCAGGCCATCTACGATATGCTGGGCGCATGCTCCTCCAACCGTCCCGCCGATTCGGCCGAAGAGCGGGCCAAAAACATTTTCGCCAAAATGGACGAAAACAACGACGGCCAACTCACCCAAGATGAATTCTTGAAGGGCTGTTTGCAAGACGAAGAGCTCTCGAAAATGCTGGCGCCTTAATGCGTATAAGCATCTAGCCCTCTTGTAGGGGCCTAACGGTGCCCCGCCGGTATAACCTATTCGAAAAAATACAAAGAGACTATCTCCAGGTGTGACCAAAACATACACAAATTCGACCACGGCGCTTGTTCCAAATATAATTGGGAAACATCGATGAAAATAGGATGTAGTGGTATATTTTCGTTTTCCGCATCTCTATGTTATAGTCGGCTTCTCTTACTGTACCTATATTACCTTGTGATTGGGTATTTTTATTACGGATCGGGCGAGCCTAGAATACGCTTGATTATTAGCATAAGCATAATATTAAATTAAGTCATACAAAGTTTGTTTCTCAACACTGCATCAATGTTATTATACATTGTCCGCCTTGAAATTTTATAACATAGCGGAAAAAAGTTTGTTGACAGTGTGTTCAGTTGATCGATGGTGCATTTTTGATAACCGAAAGATCACATGTCACGTGACCACTGATACGCAACAAGTTGAAAATATTACTATGTAAATGCAAGAAGTGGGTTCATACGACGATATGTTTGCTTAGAATGAGTTGCGTGCAAGAGCTGTCAGATGACCGACCCTGGTGGTAACATATTGAAACACAACCTCACTCTTCTGTAAATCATTGAAACACAAACTCACTTTTTTATTAGTTTACAGAGAAATCAAAGGTTTGAAATAGTTTTTCACAATATTTTGGCATACAAATCGTGGTTTTTGTGCTATTTATTAATTCGCGCATGCCATCACATTGTGCTGTTGTAGAATGCACAAAAAATGCAGCGGGAGACGAAGGAATCTGGTTGGTACATTATGGTTTATAAGTAAGTACCTACTATAGTCACTCACATATGGTGTTCATTTTTGAAATTTGGTAATTTCCATGATCTCTCATCGGAATTCCTTCTGTAATAGGAACATATACTCGTGAAATTTCTAAAATAATGCAAGAATTCATGCAATCAAATGAGAGGACTGGTCTGACATGCTGACGAAATATGATCGTGTGTGTTGTGTGTTGTAGACATTTTCAATCTTTTAGCAGTATTAGCTTCCATTTCAGAAGTGGCAGAAGGAATTTTAATAAGAAATGACAAAATTTCACAATGAAAACCATGTGAGATTACTATTTACCTGAAAAATCATATTCCTTCGTCTCTCGCTGCATTTTTTTGTGCATTGTACAACAGCACAATGAGAAGGCATGCTTGAATTAATGAATAGCGCAAAAAACACGATTCGTATGCCAAAATATTGTGAAAACTATTTCAATCCTTTGATTCCTCTGTAAACAAATAAAAAAAGTGAGGTTGGGTTTCAATGTTTCACAGAAGAGTGAGGTTGTGTCGAAATATTTTGCCTCCAGGGTCGGTCATCGTGCACGCGACCTATAAGATTTCGTAGTAATTGTTTTCATTTTTCCGCAGTACTGGTGGTCACATGACATGTGTCAAAATCAGTTGTTAGGTTTTCGAATATGCATAGTTGCACCGAAAACTCTGTCCAATACTCGAACAATGAATCCCATATGAGGCTGTACTTGTTCCATAAAAAAATTACTTTGATCAACATTTGGTCCAGAGCAACTAGTTATGGCCACAATTCAGCTTGAGTCAACAATAATCTTAATTAAAAAATGAATTAACTTGGTTTCCAAGTAGCGGGAATGAATAATAAATATTTCAAATTAACATATAAATTGTGAGGTTTTCAAGTCGTCGGAATGATTATTGAATATTTCGAGTTCAATATTACAAATTGTACTGGTAGCACATATCCCACTCCTGAAAAATTAATGGAAAAAATATAATCGTCAATGCGAGACGAAAATCCAATGTGTATCAAAAATAGCAAATATTTGAGCAAAAATGCGATTCAGAATTTTTGGAATCAAAGTGTTTCCACTATCCTCTGAATTTCAACCTAAAATGGATTTTATACAATAATAAAGCTTCCTGAACCTCCAGCCAACTAAATATGTGGTGTGCTATTATCTCAAATAATTACCAAATAGCATTTAACAAATCATCCACTTGATATATTCCTCATTTAATGTTGTTTCAGGCAAATGAATAGCTCAAAAGTCTAAACGTAACAATACACAATTTCTTTCGCTTTTGAAATATCGTCTTTCCACCACTAGCTATAAAACCTACCATTATTTACTGCTTTTCGAGGCGTAAACTGTATTTTTACTACCAAGGAGTTTTCGTCATTTTATGAACCACAAATCAATAAAGACATAGCCACCTCTGATATAACTAACCCAAATTCACTGTTCCTATGCGACATTCGCAGGAATGACACCCGAATCTAGTAGGTATTTATCAAAAACGACTTGTCATATGCTGTCATAGTCATGGCTACTAGATTTTAATTAGAATTGGAAAAAAGTACTTTCATAGTGACAATGGCACTGGGACGAAATAGCGCAGGACAAAATAGCGCGGACAAAAGAGCGCAGGACAAAATAGCGCAGGGACGAAATAGCGCAGAGACGAAATAGCGCAGAGACGAAATAGCGCAGGGTCATAATAGCGCAGAGACGAAATAGCGCAGACAAAATAGCGCGCGAAAATGGAGTGCAGGATCTATGATTAGGTTTGTTCGTTTGTTAGAGTTAAGACTCATTCTTCAAATACAAGGTGTTTCAAAATGAGTCTATACCCCAGCAAACAAACTAACCTAATCATAGGTCTACTTTAACAATCCAACGGCATACCTAGTATTAAGTTACTTCGTTTGTAAGGGTAGTCTCCTTTTGAAACATCTAGTATTTGAAGAAATAGTCTATGCCCTGACAAACGAATTAACGTAATCATAGATGATGCACTACGTTTTCGCGCTCAAATTTGTCTCTGCGCTATTTCGTCTCTGCGCTATTTTGTCTCTGCGCTATTTTGTCTCTGCGCTATTATGTCCCTGCGCTATTATGACCCTGCGCTATTATGTCCCTGCGCTATTATGTACCTGCGCTATTTTGTCCGCGCTATTTCGTCCTGCGCTATTTTGTCCTGCGCTATTTCGTTCATATTTCAGGTTTACAGAACTGAAATGATTGCAGAAATGTATTGCTAGTGGTGAAAAAAGTTTAATATACACCTTGATAGTGAAGAATATCATTACCACGGGACTTTATGCCCCTCGGCTGGAAGCCTCGGGATATAATGTTGGTCCGTGGGTAATAATGATATTCTTTACTGCCTTGGTATATAAATAACTATTTCGGTTGCTTCAATTAATGCTTTAATCAAACTGAGAAATTTTGTAATAATGGAAATCGTTTGCAAACTATATACAGGGTGTTTCATTACTAATTGGACATATTTCAACCATAGAATTCCGAACTCAAAATATGAAGATTTAACCCAAATCACCTAGATAAAATATGTCTCCTGTCTGAGTAACAGGGTGTTTTATTCAAACAAGTGACTGGTTGATCCTTCCCAAATTCTACGCCACTGGCGGAATTGCAATTGGGAGGGAACAACCAATTGATTGCCCCTATCGTACGCCTCTGGTAATAGCTAGAAAAGTTCATTTCACATAATTCAGTTGGGTGTATAATACCTACACTTCCCTCCAAATATGAAAGTGATACGTCAAATAGTTTTGAAGAACTAGGCAAAAAACATTTCAAAATTTCAGAATAAAACACCCTGTAACTCAGACAGGAGACATATTTTATCTAGGTGATTTGGGTTAAATCTTCGTATTTTGTGTTCGGGATTCTATGGTTGAAATATTTCCAATTAGTAATGAAACACCCTGTATATTGAGCCTAATCATAAAAATACTCTCAATATATTTCAGAAATAAACTTTATTAGACGACTAGGGACAAGTTGTATATTTAGAGGAGTGGTTATTATCAGGGATATTGTGGCTCCGTCTTTGAATTTGCCGGTTTCATTGAAATACCTTGGGGTGGAAAGACCCATGAAAATGGAGAATAACGTTACTATGAGTCTGAAAACGGTTCGTTTCCGAAGTACAAGGCAGTAGTGTTTGGATTGAGAAATATATTCTATGCACGGACGTAAAGTTACACTTAAGCGCCTTAGGGCGATGAAGAAGTAGAGCGGGCGGTAAAGTAGATAAATCGGGCGGTAAGTTGATTTCACTGTTTTTCCAGTAATATCTAATCGACGACCATTCGATCATTCTTTGACAGTGGCATACATAATTTGGCCAAATGAATTCGAAATCATGAATAAATTATACAGTGTCTTTCAAAAGTATCGGAACGGTCTCATATTTCAGGAACGGCTTGAGAAAAATTCACGAAATTTTCTACAGGGTGATTATTGATGATGTCCGATTCAATGGTGGCATCGGCAATGTTGCCAAGTTTACAGTTTTTCAGATATTAGGAGTAACTTTATTTTTTCAAATGAATTACCCCATTTATTTTTATTGCAATTAATTGAGCGCCACCTAATTACTTGAGTCCCTGAATATCAGATTCGTAATTAACGTGATTTTCGAAATATGACAACATAGCATTTTCGCTAAAAAGTTCTGGAACGGTCCCATATTTCAGACAAGGCTCAGAGAAAATTTATGAAAACTTCTACAAGATGGTTGTTGATGATGCCCGATTCAATGGTGATATCGGCAATGTTGCCAAATCAACAGTTTTTCAGATATTTAGGGTAACTCAATTTTTTCAAATGGAATACCCCATTTATTTTTATTGCAATTAATTAAGCGCCTCCTAATTACTTGAGTCCCTGAATATCATATTCGTAATTAACGTGATTTTCGAAATATGACAACATATAGCATTTTCGTTAAAAAGTTCTGGAACGGTCCCATATTTCAGACACGGCTCAGAGAAAATTTATGAAAACTTCTACAGGATGGTTGTTGATGATACCCGATTCAATGGTGATATCGGCAATGTTGCCAAATCAACAGTTTTCAGATATTTAGGGTAACTCAATTTTTTCAAATGGAATACCCTATTTGTTTTCATTGCAATACATTCAGCGACGCCTCATTACTTATGTCTCCAAATATCAGATTTTAAATTGAAGTGGTTTTCGAAATATGACAACATGGCATTTTCGTTCAAAAGTCTGGGAACCTTCTAATATTTTCAATACGGTTCAAGGAAAATTCATGAAATTCTATACAAGAATTGATTGCAACGAAAACAAATAGGGTATTCCATTTGAAAAAATTGAGTTACCCTAAATATCTGAAAAACTGTTGATTTGGCAACATTGCCGATATCACCATTGAATCGGGTATCATCAACAACCATCCTGTAGAAGTTTTCATAAATTTTCTCTGAGCCGTGTCTGAAATATGGGACCGTTCCAGAACTTTTTAACGAAAATGCTATATAATAATAATAATAATGTTTATTTCTGAAAAATATATATATTTTTTTGTTGTTGTTGACAACATGGCATTTTCGTTCAAAAGTCTGGGAACCTTCTAATATTTTCAATACGGTTCAAGGAAAATTCATGAAATTCTATACAAGAATTGATTGCAACGAAAACAAATAGGGTATTTATTCCATTTGAAAAAATTGAGTTACCCTAAATATCTGAAAAACTGTTGATTTGGCAACATTGCCGATATCACCATTGAATCGGGTATCATCAACAACCATCCTGTAGAAGTTTTCATAAATTTTCTCTGAGCCGTGTCTGAAATATGGGACCGTTCCAGAACTTTTTAACGAAAGTGCTATATAATAATAATAATAATGTTTATTTCTGAAAAATATATATATCATTACAATGTTTTTTTGTTTTATTTGCTGTGGTAGGATTGCAGAAACAAGCATTAGAAAACCCATTAGAACCACAGGGTCGAGCATGGGTTTGTCAAAACTGTATCTATTTATCCTAGAAATCGAGCAGCAGAGAAGAAAGAGAGAGAGAATTGTCATATTTCGAAAATCACGTTAATTACGAATCTGATAATCAGGGACTCAAGTGATTAGGAGGCGCCTAATTAATTTCAATAAAAATAAATGGGGTATTCCATTTGAAAAAATAAAGTTACTCCTAATATCTGAAAAACTGTAAACTTGGCAACATTGCCGATGCCACCATTGAATCGGACATCATCAGTAATCACCCTGTAGAAAATTTCGTGAATTTTTCTCAAGCCGTTCCTGAAATATGAGACCGTTCCGATACTTTTGAAAGACACTGTATATTATGAGTGAACAAATGTCCAAAACGGTCGAGCATAAAATTATATGTATGTATTTCAGGCGTACCTTGCTTTTACGCCCTTGATACATAAATAAATATTCTTTCATCACGACAAAACCGAAAAGTGATAACTTTTAATATCCTAATGGATTATATATACAGTGTCTTTCAGAAAGTTAGCATCATATGGGAAAAAACTTCAGATAATAATTTATTTCGAAATTCGACTTGAGAAATATTACATACTCGGTCGGGGTCACGTGACTTTCACTGCGTGTCAAAAGGTTCTTTTTTTTAATATTCGCTGAAAGTAGGCTTATTCGTTTGAATTTCAAAAACGTTTACTAAGAAAGGGCGTTTCTCATAGACATATAAAAAGAGGGGAGCCATAACATTTCTTTCATAAAACACTATTGGTTTACAATCATACATACTTCCAAAGTTTCCAATAATATAGAAAGATATGGCTTAAAAAATTGGCAACGATGTAAACTGTGCGTAAATGTTCACGATTTTCTCCACCCGTCGCGTAGGTTGAGCGAAAGGCAAGACAATTTTACTACAATGACAACGCTATCATCACTATCACAAAATGTTTGGGTCTAATCT